ATACGCCACGAGATCGAGCCGGATGCCTTGCTTCTTGGTGGAATCATCAAGTGGGTCTGGTTCCCGTTGTTCAGCTCTAGCAGCCGTGATTGCGGCATTCATTGATCATGTGATGTCTCCCGGAGTTACAACTGGGTGGATATATGCTGCAGATCGCATTGCCTTCCAGCCGGATTCAATAGTATGTGCCCTGAGGTACGCGTCGTCAGCTGAACTGGATACTTGTCCATCATTTCTGCCACGAGTTTCAAATTTGATGTGTTCCGTGCTCAAACGACAAACTCGTCGAGCTGCACCGTCATGTCGCTAGGGTACTTGTGCACGGCGGGACGAGTCGGAATCTTTGTCTGTCTCAGTTGCTTGAGGGTTGGTCGTGTTTTTCCTTTCGTTTTCGGCTTTGTATCGTTTATAATATCCGCTTGTCGAGCTAGTACGTCTGAACGCGGAGGTGTCGGTGTGTCCGCTTGTTCAAGCCCGCTTCACCTTTATTAGGGTCCACAGAAAGTTGCAGAACGAGGCGTTTGGGGGGGGGGGTACTCCTGGTTTGCATTATCTCCACGCTCGAAACTTCTTCTGAATCCTCTGGAGAAACCTCTGCTTTCTGCGTTGGTGGAATGGACTCACCATCGCTGCTACCATCTGTCACACCTTCCGTATCTTGTAGGGCATTCATGAGATTAGTTGTAGCAAGATCAGTAGGAGAATCTAGTAACGGGTACAGCTCAGCTTCGGCCTCATCAACTTCGTTGTCGCCATTGTCCCTAGTGTTAGCCGTAGCAGCCTCCCTCCTGCTCACCCCAACTTCCACAGTCTCTTTCCAAGATTTAAGCTGCTGATAGAAATCGGCACTGGACAACTCGGAGAGATGGTTGAGTAGTGGTTCTAGCATCGCCTTCGCGTATGAATATTTTTCAGCTGATGTAAGCACGACTTGTTTGGCACGTTCGTCCCGGCGTAGCCAAATATACACAACTTCTCTCTCATTATCTGACGGCGTGTGCGACTTCCGTTCCTCAGCTGATCGGTCACTACTGTCCGGCAACCTTATGCGCTTCAGCAACTTTAACTTTGACATGTTCACAATAGGTTGCAAGGCGTTGGCCGCTGAAGTCAGTTCATCCTTGACGTCTTGCACTTCAAATGTACTCCAGCGCTCATGGACTGAGATACCAGGGAATATCTGGAATCCATGGCTTTCGCTCGCTACAGGCATCAGATGACAGCATGGCAAGTGGTGGCTTGAGTAGAATAGGCATGTGCATGTTCAACCCCCTTGGTCGCACTCGTAAACCTGGTGTGAATAATAAACTTTCCACTTCGAAACTGGTTTTTTATGTATGGAAGTTGTCGTTACCTTCCCATTCCCGAATCCCTCCCATTCATTTTTCACTTTCTCCAACATGTACGGTGAAAACCTCCTTACCACCGCTCGCAAGAATGAAGGCACAGTCTTCGGCAATCAAAATGTTGAATGCTGCTTCTCAATTGCAGATACTACCTGACGGTAGTAATCATCTGGTGCTGGAGTAAGCCCGCCAATGTCTTGTCAATTCTTGTCTTGAGCCCGAGAAGCATCTTCAAGTATTTACAGTTAGACTCGATCCTGTTAGTGGTCGTATTCCCAGCCGTACAGAGTTTTCCACGTGCGTAGTTCGACCACATAATGCGACAGGAATGCCAGTTTTTCTCGAAATAGGCAAAGCACGCGCTTTTCCTTGCGGCTCTGCAGTATTCCTTTAGTGCATCATAGCCGGATTGATACGCGTCCTGCGTTCGACTAACGCAGAGAATATAAGAGTTAGTTACTACTGTGTAGATTTCTTTTTCACAATAAACGTACCTGTAGAGCAACTTCGTCATCAAATCGAGTAAATCTTCTCTATTAGCAACCCTCAGCCGGAATTCTTTACGTTCAACACCTTTTTCCAGTAGGTTATAGCATGAAACTGACACAATACTACTTATGCGTTTGGAAAGGTCTGCTCGAGAACCTGCCATTCCACGAAATTTTTGTCGATCAC